GCCGCCATCAAACGACCAGCTGGCCATCAGGCCGGCGTCGCCTTGGCACTTTGCGGAGCATCCAAACATGCGCGGTCAGGCTGCATGTCCGCACTCCGTCTCCAACTTCTCAGAGGCACTCGTGGAGCGTTGGAGCCCAAGATGGTGTGGGCAAGCGGCTCCGAATTTGGGTGTTGCTTTGGGAGCTTGCGCTGCTTGCAAGAGGGGTGCGCTTGCGTGCACAGGCCTGGATCTGCAGCTGAAGGTGGACTTTGATCGGCAGGTCTTGGCTGGCGAATGCCAGCTGACGGTACGATCGCTGCAGCCTGTGGACCATGTGATCTTGGACGTTTTGGACTTGGCCACCCGGCTGCAAGTTGCGATTTTTGAGTCGAGCACGTAAGAAAATTGGCAAGGAAGTCCAAGAAGTCACGAAAGAGGATGGCACAGCAGTGCCTTGGCTGAACTGATATTACTTATTGCTGTTTCCAAGATGAATTCTGTTGAGCTTTGAGATACAGGTGTGAATGTTTAATAGGGGACCCTCTAAAAGGCATCATTTAGGATTCATGTCCACCAAACACTTTGGAGGTGGATCCGCATTGAAATTCAACCACATACCTCAGGTGCAGTGGAAAGTGCAGAAGCCACCCGGGGCCAAAGCGAATTTTGGTCAGTCGCTGACCATCGACCTGGATGCCGAAGTGACCAAGGTGTGCGTTAAGTACGAGACCACTGAGAAGAGCACAGCGCTCCAATGGCTGAGGAAGGAACAGACGCAGGGGAAAGAATTCCCGCTGTGCTTTACGCAGTCCCAGGCGATCTGCGGAAGATCGCTTCTGCCGTGTCAGGATACGCCGTCCGTGAAGGCACCGTTTACTATCGCTCTGACCGTACCGGCGGCTCTCACAGCGGTCGCATCGGGCAACCCGAGTGGTGACGTTGTGACGCAGGGTGATTCGCGCACTTTCAAGTATGAGCAAAACGTTCCCGTCATGTCCTACCTCATTGGCTTTGTGGTCGCCCGGTTGGAAAGCTGCCGGATTGGGCCCAGGAGTACATGCTACGCAGAACCTGGCGTACTTCAGGCGGCACAAAAGGAGTTCCAGGACATCGTTGAGGAATTTATTATTACTGCCCAGGAAGTAGTAGGTGGCGCAGACTATGAGTGGGGCAGCTACAATGTGGCTGTCATGCCTTCCTCTTTTGCCTACGGGGGGATGGAAAATCCGAACTGCACGTTTATGAGCGCATCCCTGATTCCGGGGGATCGCAGCCTGACGCCTACTTTGGCCCATGAGATCGTGCACTCCTGGATTGGCAACCTGGTCACGAACGCCTTCTGGAAGGATTTCTGGCTAAACGAAGGTTTCACCCGCTACATCGAGCGGCGAGTGCTGGGCCACCTGTCAGTGAATGCCAAGCTAGGCACCCTCAAGAGTGGTTGGTGGATAGGAATCCCCAGCGAATTCTATTTACACTGGCTTGGGTTTTGAGCTGCCAAGGTAAGCTCTACGGGCCGGCCTTTCGTGGATTGCTGCTCATGGTCGGCTACAATGACCTGGTGAAGACACTTGGCTGCACGGGAATCGTCTTCGGTCAAATAATCCAAGGGCGATCAAATCTAAGGGCTGTCGAGATGCTGACTAAGCAAGGCACGCCAGGTCTTACAAGGTTGGAGCCCCAGATCGACGAGATTGACCCGGATGATGCATTTTCTCGGGTGCCGTATGAGAAGGGCTCCCTTTTCTTGATCTATTTGGAGCAGATCGTGGGAGGCGAGCAGGCAATGACTGACTGGCTGCGCTCCTATGTGCAGGAGTTTCGTGGCCGCAGCATTGAGACCGCTGATTTCAAGGCACACTTCCTCAAATTCTTCCGCACGGTGAAAAGAGTGAACGAGGTTGACTGGGAGCACTGGCTTCATGGTGAGGGACTGCCTGATTTCGACCTCTCAGCTCATGCGGACAAGTCGCTGCTGGATGAATGTAGGTCACTGGCCGATAGCTGGCTGCAAAGTGGATCTGCTGATGTCGAGACTGGTCACATGAAGGCGCAGCAATGGATGCTATTCCTGGATCACTTGATCAACGCAGTGGTCGGCGGCAAGCAAATATCTGAGCCAGCCCTCGCTGAGATGGATGGCAAGTACAAGTTTTCTGCTACCGCTAATGTTGAGGTATCCTTTAGGCCAGGATGTGGCGCTCGCTTTGAAGCCACACGGACGGGTGGGGGGGGGGGGGTTGATGGGCCACGGACGCTCGAGGGTACTGCTTGTGCAGCACATGACGCTGAATGCAGGTGGTGCTTGCTGGGATGTAGGTGCCGCTGGAGAGGCTGTTTGGACTTGACAGCAAAGTTCCTGGCAAGTCATGGCCGTGGTGTTTATGTCAAGCTTCTCAGCTGCATTTCTCTGGATGCAGAGCCTCGTTCAAGAATGCGGTTGAACTGCTCCTTGATTGCAATCGAGGCCACTGTATTTGGCCTTGAAGGATTTTGACGAGGAGCGGGCAAGGAGTATTTTTCAGCAGAATCGACGCTTGCCTGAAGTTGGACGTGCAATTCAAGCGCATGCTTGTATACATGGCTTGCATCCTAGGCTCCTTCTACATGTCAGTTGTGACGAGACAAGTCGCAGCCTTTCTAGACAAATGAGTATTCTCGAGCTGCTGACGCTGGCAAGTGAGCGACGTAATGTGATTCTATGGGATTGGTGTAGGTATGATTCGGGTGTTAGAAAAGGCGCGCAAGGCATGATTGGCATTCCGTTGCTTGGGGGCAAACTTGGCACGCCTCCTCATTTCCGTCACTTTGGTTGCAGGTGCCGCCTCTTGGGTTGCCGCCCGTACAGAGCTGAGTTGAGAAGTCTTGCTTTCATTCTTGCCTTTTCTCTGTTTTTCTTTCTTTCTTTCTTTCTTTCGTTCGTTCGTTCGTCCGTCTGTCCGTCCGTTCGTTTCGTTCTTTCTTTTTGTGGATTGTGTCGCTGAAGCCATGCACTGTTTTGAACAAGGCATCGCTGGACGAGGATGGCATGCGATTGGAGAGCAAAGCAGCGGCCCTGACTGGGCCTCAGTTTCATGCGCGACCACAGTACGCAACTGCACCCATTCAATGCACATTCTTGCGTGTTTCTTTGTGAGGGCAACTGGGAAACCAACAGGAAAACCGCGATTTTGGGGAATCCCCCCACTGGCCGAGGCTGAACCTCGTCAATCACGGAGCCTTTGCGTCCGACGCCAAAGCGCCAGCAACGCCGGCAAAGCCGGCAGGCAGCTCAGAGGCGAGAGAGTTTCTCACCATTTTGGTAGGGAAGCAAAAGGCCAGGTTTGCCCCTTTTACGGGGGCCGGTTCCGATTTTTGAGAACCCCCAAGCTAGATATCCGAGCAAGCGAATCAAGGCTGCACGCAGCATCATCTCGGTGCTGAGCGGGGCTCCATAGCCGATTTGATTGACCAAAACCCTGGTGTACGGAACCCCCCCCCCCCCCCGAAAAGCCCAAACACGGTTGATTGCTTTTGCCAAAACGCTAGGGCTTGGCCGAACGCTGGCTTCCCTGTTCAAAGGTCAAGTGGCACAAGGCACAGAACCAGAAGAGGCCAGCTGGCCTTTCGCGCATGGCTTGCAACATTTGCAGACATGGCTACTGCGAGGAGACTGGAACAAAAAGGAAGCAGCCAGAAGCTTTGTCCGAGCCTTCTTGTAAGGCTCATGAGCGATTAGCTTAGCGCTTGCTAAGGGATATCGTGGAGGAACCGCAGGATTGGCAGGTTCGCCTTCGGAAGCTGAATTACGGGTGCCTCTAGCTAGCTTATCTGCCAGTCTGCGCTGCTTGCATACAGATTGCACTCGAGGCTGGAGCCTCTGCCCTTGGACATGGTCCTCAAGTGGGTCGTGGAAGCAGCAGAGGTGTCTTGTTTGCCAAGATGCGAATCGACTGGAGACGAAAGCCACCAAAGCGCACAAGGTCATTGGGTGTGTCCTTTTCAAGATTCATTGTTTATAGTTTGGAACCACTGGACACCCGTTTTGGAGGGCTATTTTGAGCCAAGCGCATCTCTGCCTTCACCCAGGACAGGGAAGTCGGGCTTGCAGACGAGACTTGGCCTGCCAGAATTGCTAGAGTTCTTGGCGCTCCAACTGGCTCTCGCGATAGAGAAACACATGAAATACCCTGTGTGCTCAGGATTTGATTCGAAGCGGCGTCTCTCAGTTTGTGCGCCGCGTCGCTCAAGATGAGCTGGTTTCAGAGGATGGATTGGTGTGAAGCACTGCACATGGGCCGTAGCGATTGGCAGAGGAGCTGTTTCGGGAGAGGCACACCGTGGTTGACAAGCTCAAGGCCTGGCACTTGTTGGGAAGTCAGGGCACTTGTCGCATGCCAGGTGGCCGATTTGGGTCAGCTGGCCGAGGCCAATCCATTCGCTGAGTCTCAGGGTCAATCTCGCTGGGTCTCAGGAGATCGACGTGTCGATGAGAGCTGCCCAGCTGTCAAAAAGCTTGGGGCGAGGAGTTGCAAAAGCTTGTCAGACGCCGAGTCATGCCAGTTCTTATTCGAGAACGACCAAGCCTTTTTTTGTCGAAGCAGTGAGACCGAGGTTTGGACGGCCAGACAAAGGACACAATGGCCCATTATGTCAAGATGGTGGTGAGGCTCTAGCTGCAAGTCTCCAGACTCGTATCGCATGTTGTGTTTGACATCTGCGTGTCAGGGGCTGTGACCGCAGTGGTTGGCCTATGCGTCTGTAGCTCACTCACTGACCAGCATCAAGTCTTTGGGCGGCCGCCGAGGTCGTGTCTTCATCAAACACTTAGCCCAAGTTGCATCCCGAAGTATCAAAGCTGGACAGAACGAGAGAACCCATGCTTTTGCCAAGCCTTGTTTTACATGCCATTCTCAAATTCTGTTGCTTGCAGGAGATGTAGCCGGCTCTAGCAAAGCGTCCGAATGCCTGGCCGAGTTTGGCAACGCTGGCCTGTGCTCCCTATTTGGCTGTTTTCCATTTTCCGATTGCAGAGTGCCAGGCAATGTGGGGGGCTGGAAGTACGTGGTCACATGGTTGGGGGAGAAGCCAGATGTGAACAAATGGCCGAGCGGAGCGGTGCTGGACCAACTGGGCACCTGCCTCACGGCGAAGGCTCCCGTGCAGCTGTTTGCGCTGCTGCACGCCGCGCTGACCTCCTCCTCCTTCAACTTCAGCGCCCGGAGCCTGGGGCGCTTGGAGCGCATCATGGCGAAGGCCGTGGCGCCGGCCTTCCAGCTGCAAACCTTGGAGCAGAGCCTCGCCCTGGTGCGGGAGGTGGGGGGAAATTTGAAGGTCGGGTCCGGAGGTCGGAGGTTTTCAGCAAGTTTGCCCTTGAAATAAAGCAACCCGGAAAAAAGGGTATCCGGTATCCTCAAAGACAGGTGGCGGCCTGCGGCCGAGTCAAGGACCGGTTCCAGTTTGTGCTGCATTTGATGGATTTCGCCCTGGAGATCAAGCAGGAGATGGACACGCAGAAGAGCAGCAGATGGACGGAGATGCAGCAAAAGCTGCAGGGCTTCTTGGCATGTCCCCGAGTGCAGGGCAAAGTGTCGAAGGATTCGTGGCAGGCGCTGGCTGCGCTGGAAGATGACCTGATGGACACTCTGAAGAATACCATAGACCAGCACCTGCAATCATCCAAAGAGCACGAGCAGTCTTTGGAGGAGAAGCAGCAGCAGCAATTTGAAAAGGACACACTGGCAAAGATGGATCAGGATCGACAGGTGATTTGGTCTTTGCTTCATGAAGGCGAGCTCAAGGAGAAGCACAAAGCGGGACTACAGAAGTGCTTGGGCAGAATCAGGAGCATGTATGAGCTGATGCAGAAGGTGGAGCCGACGCGGCCCTGTTTAGAGGCCTGGGACGCTGCGAGGGCTGCCGTGCAGAGCTACGGCGAGATGCCGGTCAGGTGGCTTCTGCAAAATCTGGATTTGGACCGACCCCAACACGATCAGTTCCTTTCGGGCTCCCCCAAAAGCCAAAACACACAGACACTTGGTGGCTCCCAGCCATCCCCTTGGCCTTTTCTAAGCTTTTTAGGCCTTGGGGGTTTCCATTTCACCATTTCACCCGCAAAAAGACTCTCCTGCTCCGAAAACGGGCCCAGCTACAGACGAAGCAAAACCTTCCCAGGTGCACCAAAGCCTTCCAGTGGCTGCAGAGGAAGCAGCTGGGGCACCTGGGGTCTCTGCTGGACTCCGCCGGCCTTCTGGAGCACCTGCACCGCCTGGGAGACGCCGATTTCGGCCAGGGCCTGCGCCCGAGTGCTTTTTCGTTTTTCTTTTTGGGGGGAAGGGTCGAAATGAACCCAGGACCCACCAGGAGGGGTTGTTTCTCAGGTGGGTCTGGTTTCCATGCTTGGGATACCTATGTTTGACCAGCCACACACGAGACTTGAACGCCGGCTCAGACCGCCGACAGGCCTGCTTTCTTGTATGCGTCTTACAGGTACGGTGCATGTGGGGAATGGGCCTTTTGTTTGACCTTTTTGGTTTATGTCTCTTTTCCGCAGGACGGCACGCAGAGTGGGTGTGGGGGTGAATGCTTCTTTGACATGTGCTTCACACGTGGAGCGTGTAGCAATGTCTGTTCTGCTCATCTCATCTCTGCTGCTTGCTTCGTGTCTTTGTTTTGTTTGCATTCTTTGGAAGGCCTCAACAGGACTTGAGTGGGGCGTTTGGTCTGCCTCCGTTTGTTCAAGTTCTCTTCCCTAGCTGGTCTGCGAACCTGCCCCAAGAATAGCAGAGGAAGTTGCAAAGCAACAGCGCACATCCCACAATCAAAACCCGAGTAGATGAAGGTTAGTTAGGGACAATCCCCACCAGAAATAGCTTCGGCCGCCTTCTTAATTCTTTACATGGTTCTGGGTCGACCATTTTAATAGAGAGAGAACACAAGAAAACAACGAAGCATCAGCAGGACAGAGCCTGATTGCATCAGCGAGACAGAACCTGATTGCATCAGCAGCACCGCCGAACGTCACTTCTGGGGACCTCCACAAAAAAAGAGGAGAAACAAACAATACTGCGCTGTCCTGCTGACGCTTCTTGTTTCTGTTGGTTGGATTCTTCCCTCTGGAAAGTTCCCCCGCAGGACTTGAGCACAGACTTTTGGCTTGCCTCCGTCTGTTTCCCTCGCCGAACATGCGAGTAGTTTTTGTTTGCAACCAGCTCTGTGCTTGTTTGGTCCTTGTTGGACACACCGTCTGTCGGCGGACTTTCATCCAGCAATCTCACTTGCCATCCATGAAATGCCAGAAGTGCATCTTGAGGTTTCCCGCTTCGCGGTCGCCAGCTGCTGCTGGCGGCCGTTGAAGCGGATGCCTTGTCGAAGGATGACCTGAAGCCAAAGCTCGATGAGGCCGAGTGTGCGTTTCGGCTCAGCTTCTGGCCTTTGATCAGTGACAGGTGCCGGAGGGCTGGGAGTCATCGCCTCAGAAATGCAGCTGAGAGATGTGCTGAGCTTCGGAGCTTCGGGCCAGGCAGCGGACGTCCAGGCATCTCAACCTTCAGTACTTCCAATCCTTGGAGGCGCGGCGAGCATCGCATCTGCGAGCCGGAACGCCGTGTCCCGTGTTTTTTGTTTTCTTTTCTGTTTTGTGAGGAGTAACCTTTCTTGGCCGTGAAAGGGAAATCAACAGTCAAACCGCCCATTCTAACTATGCCATTCTACTCTCAAACTCGGAGGCTCGCAGTCTGCGGCTTCCCTTTTTGTCTGCATAGCTTCAAAGACCTGGTTTCCGTGCGATGCACGTGCCATCACGAGCCTTTGTGTTGAGCTCGCCAGGCAGCTGGCAAGATGCAGTGGGCGGTGGCCCTGGTGCGAACTTGTTATCGAGGAAGTTAACTCATGCGTTTTAACTGCGCTCGCATAGGGGTGGCTCGTCTTTTTCAAGGCACCCCTCCCCCCCCCACCCCCCAAAGGATGGTGTTCCTCCCGGTTTCCCTTTAAACCCACCAAAAAAGGGTACCCTCGCAAAAAGGCACACCCATATTCAAGCAGTTCCGGGGTCCCAGGAATGGCCGCTGCCCAAAAAGTTGCTTCCTTGGAGGAGCTCGATGCCAAAGTCTTGTGAGCTAAAAGATCGGCACACATGGAGCGTGCAGGAAGGGGCCGGATGCAACTGACCACCTCTGTCAACAGCGCGACGAGGCAAGACACCAGTCAACATGAGGGAACCTTTTCTGCGCAAGAGAGGGCCTCGAAAAGACACGACACTTGGTCAGATCGGGTAATGAAAAGTGGTCAGCTTCAGGACAGTTTGCTGTCCGAGCACAAGAAAACTTTGAGTGGGTGGGGAACCTAGCCAGCCCTGCGCGTGAGGGTCATGGCATCCAACTTGAGGCCCAAAGGCAGACGGCCATACTTGGAAGGTGCAGCATCTGGCCGCGTTTTTTTGAGGGTACCTGTTTTTTGAGGGTTTTTAAAGACAAATCGACAGGAAGACCGCCATTTTTTGGGGTACCCTCAAAAGAAGCCTTTTCTTTGGTTTGAAGAGGTTAGATTTTGCTATCGCGCTTGCAGGCCAACGGTGTTTGCTTTGCATGCGGGATGCAGATGACATCCACATGGCATCGCGGGAGCATAGCCGGGACACGCAGTTAGTGCTTGCAATGCATGCAACTGCTTGTGGCACCAGCACAGCACATTGCTTTGTAGTTCTTCGGAAAGGTCAGCAGATGATGTACTGGAAGCAACTGTCAGACCGATTGGCGATGGTGTGCCTTGATTTCCGCAAAGTGTCTCATCAGGACGTTTGCAGTTGGGACAGCGCTCTTAAACTCAAGATATTCTCTGCGAGGACAAGCCCCAAACTGGCCTGACAACAGCCTGGCGAGGAGAGCTCTGGCAGGCGCACTCAGCGCGTCATGTCTGTCATGTCCGGTACTCTCGCCTTGGTAGGCTTTGAAGGTGGATCCATCGCCGCCACGCCGAGTCGCGGCCCCGGAAATCTAATTCTTTTGTGACTCGGAATCCTTCCTGCAGGTCTTGGCCGTGTTCTGGCTGCGGGCAGTGCTGCCCCAGCTGGCTGCGCCTACGCCGTCACATGCCGCGCCCTGAGCGCCGAGCGCCGCGATGAGTGGAGGTCCGATTGCGGCATCGATGCGTCAGGATACCACCACAGGACTTCAGGCGCTGCTGGATGAAGCTTTCACAGCTCCGCGCCAAGGGATCTGCGAAATCCCCGCCACCTGTGGCCTCTCGCCTCTCGCCGAGGCAGCCAGTGAGATGCCCAAAGTCGATGCCATGGTCGTGGAGAAGGCCCAGGGTGTTGCGGAACCAAGAGTACAACATCCAAGTCTCCAATTCCCCAAGGAACAGAGTCCTGTACAATTTCGGGTTCCGGCTGTTTATCAATCTCAGGCAACCCTTGGTTGGTGGTCTGGGAAACCAGCGCCAGTCACTAAACCACCAATCCAAATCAGCTATGAGAGGGAAGCTGACAATCTGTAGGGGAGAGTTTGAATTGAAGCTGGCTAGGAGCTTACCACAGCACTAGCAGCCATGGTTTCTTGGCTGAGATCGGCTGAGATGTGCTGCCCTTGTGTTGCTTGAACCTTCTTCAAGCTAAGGAGCGCTTTCTGGATCCTCAAACGCATCTTCTTGTTGCAGGCGTGAGCCAGATCATTCTCAGAGGCGAGCTCAGATCAGTTGAGTCAAGGGCCCAAAGCAGATGCGACGCCAGCTGCCTTGTGCCTAGCTCTTCATGGTGGGCACCAAGACAAGCCTATGAGGGCGGCTAGAAAGTAAGGTCGCTGCCCTGAAATCTCTTCGACTTGCGACAGTCTCCGCGTTCTACACCAGGCTTCGGACATTTGGGAATTCGGGCATGCAAGACGCCTGACTTGGACTTGTTACGCTTGTGCAGTCAGTTTCTGGCAAGGTCGGCTTCTTTGGGCAAGTTGTTTCTGGCGCTCGGGCGGGCTGAGGCGGGCTGCCGTAGTGCTTGCCAAGGTGTGACGGTGATTGCAATTTAGACAACCATTGTAAGGATTCCTACAAAGGGAAGCAACGCCAGTAAGGAGTTGTCGACCATGGCGCACATGGCTTATATGGCTTGAATGGCCCAGCAGCTGACCAGCATCAAGACAGCCTAGCTCCCCGAACATCCGTGAATTCAAGCCGAACGTCTAATCTCGGAAGCACTTGCAAGATTGATCCCACCCTCGTTAGCGTCAAGATGGGTCAAGCCTCCTCATCGCCTATACAATGCAGGGCTCTCAGCTGTGGGTCAGCCTCTGCTTCTCCAACTGCCGGGCAGATGAGGCTCCAATTCGCCAAAACGACATCGAAGGATGCCTGGAGCCTGAAGACTGTAATGCAAAAGGCAAGCTTCAACTGGATCAGCCATGCATGTGGTTTTTGGTTTTCTTGGGGGCATGTGGTTCTTTTTCCCAACTGCTGAAAGCCAATTCTAGGGTCTCTGCCCAAATATGGTTTAGGGCAGCTTCCAGGGACGGTTCAAAAGGAGGGCTCCAGGAGTTCCGGAACTGGGGATCATTGGCCACTGAGTTCAATGACATCCGCGGCCTTGTTGATGGCAACCGGGTCTGCGTTGAGCTGGGTGCCGCCCGGCAGAAGCTTGGCAGCAGGTCAGATGTGTTGCGAGCGCATCACACGCGGCAAGCTAAGGGAGACCGATGGAAAGACCGGCTGTGCCGCACGGGTCCCCCCAGGACACTTGAACTGCCGGACCTGGAGAGGCGCTTGTAACTTCTAAATTCCATGCCCAGGAGAAGCTGGCGGCGGTTGCTTCTTCATTGCGGCGGGAAAGAGCTGTGCTGGAAGATAAGAGGCAACAGCTGGAAAGGAGCATTTGTGGCACATGCCGATGACACCAGCACTTCCAGATTCTTCCGCTGCATGTTGATGGAAAGGACGGCATACATACTGGAGAAGCAGAAAAAGGAGATGGAGGCGGGCTTAAGGCTCAATTTTGGCGTCAACAACACCTTACGAGGAACACATGGGTGTCGTGCCCCTGCCCTACGGCTCTTAGGTCCCCTTCTATATCAGCCCTATGCCCCCCCCTCAGTTGTCCTCCATTTGACTCACTGACCCTATGTTTGGGAGTCTCTTGGCTTGGGGAGACCATGAGACAACACAACAGGCACCCCAAATTTCCTTTGGGAGCGTCTTGGTAACTTTGTGCTGCGGTCTCATTAAACAAGAAACAAACCAAGCGAGTTGCCGTGAGCGTGCACATGCGTCGCTTATCACCCACGGCCCCATTTAGAGACTTAGACTTATCATTTGCAAACCCATCTACCGTTTGTCATACCATGGATGGCTCGTCTGTTTTTGAGGGTACCTTTTGGTTGGTTTTAAGAGGAGCATTTTGGGGAGTCCTAAAGTCAGAAGCATAAACCTAAACTTGAGTTTTCGAAACCAAGACGACAGGTTTGGGGCGTGTCTCTGGGACTATTTTTCCTTTTTGGTTTCGTTTTGCAAGCCGAGTTGTCATTTACATTGGTTGGACAAGTGCGGAAAACAAAAAGAAACAAACAACAACAAACAAAACAAACAAACACACCCAGAGTTTTCAGAAAAAATAAACACACAGAACGCATACAGACTCCGTTTCAACATCGACGTTTTGTACACGTTTCCATCACACATGCCCAGAAAAGCCAAACAACAAACATACCGGGCCCGTTGGGGAATGTCTCCGCTCATCTCGCACAAAATGTGTGATGTGTCTAGCATGGCCTGCTATGCACGGCATATGTCTGTTGTCATTGAACTACGTGTCAAGAAACAACTCTTAGCAGAGATATAGTCTATGGCCAGCATGTATTTCAAAGGAAAGACAGCAGACTTTGTGTTGGTCTAGCTCACATTTGGTGCGTGTGTGGTTTACTAAGTCTAGTTTTTGTGAAACAACAGCAAACAGCGCGCCCAGAGTGACACGCTCTCTGTCGAAAATCTACACTTGCATTCTCTTCCCAAGCTGGGCGCCAAGCAGTCAGTGGGTCTGAAAAAATGGTGTTTCCTCCTCGTTTCCCTCTGAACCCCCAACCTTTTTGCGGCTTCCAGTTTCCAAAAGACGAGCTCCACCCGTTTCGTCTCCCGTGTTTTTTCCAGGGCCCGGCCGGATGGGGTGGGTGATTCGGTATTCGCTGAGGAGGAGCTGTCGAGGCAGGCCATGGAGCTCCAGAGCTTTCGCGGCCGCGCAGAGGAGGCGCTAAAGTTGGAGCGCCAGGACGAGCCACGTCCTCAAAACCAGGGTAGATGGGAGTGGCTCAAAATTAAACAGGAGGGGCAAACCGCGGGTTTTGGTCCATGTTTCCACTTACCAGGGTTCCAGTTTGGTATCGGTTTTTTGAGCCACAGCCAGATGAAGGATAGGAAGGGACAATCTCAACCATAAATGGCTGCTGATCTCCGCCTTCTTATTTCTTGAAGCATGGTTCTGGGTAGACCATTTTGACCAAGGGTTTTGATTGTGACTCCAGGAGCTGAGCAAAGAGAAGCAGCGCCTTGCCATGCAGTCCCAGGCCGGGCGCGTCTCGTCGGAGGGTGGGTGGGGGGGGGAGGGTGGTAGGTGGTGGGCAGGTGGGTAGGACCTACCCAAGAGGACCCCCCAGTTGGATAAAATCCCCTCAACCGACTAATTCACATAATATTTTTTCATCATTTCATAACAGAACCTCAACTCAAGATTTGATACATAAATTTTGTAAATATTTTTCTAAATTCCCAAAATATATTTTTCCAAAATCCCAAATTCCCAAAATATATTTTTCCAAAATCCCAAATCCCAAAATCCCCATAAATCCAAATCATAAATCTTACAATAAAATTAAATTGTAAGGTTTATGGGTTAATTTATAATTTAAGTTCAGGATAATAATTTAATTGACAAATCTCACTTATGTCATACATCATTTTAAAAATAATATTAATATCTCTCACTGTATTTTTAACATTAAACTTTTTATAAATTTCAATATAAAATTTGATATATTCTTTAATATCTTCTCCTTTCTTTTGACTATAACACAACATCCTTAATATATCATAAATCATTTCATATTTTTTCTTACTGATTTTAAGAAACTGTTTAACATAAACGTAAGGTGGTAATTTATTTACAGTTAAAAATATCAAAATCTCATCTTCTACATTTCTTTCATCTATTTTTTTAATCTCCAAAATATGTTCTATTATATTTTGATATCGTCTCCATCTTCTACAAGTTCTACATAAATCTTCTTCACCCAAAGCATAATCAATAATATTATTTATTATTCCATTAGGTAAATTTAATTTATACAATTCCATATTTTCTTTTTTAAAGTGGCAACAGTCATAGCATTTCTTATTAATATACTTATTGATTTCAATACCGTTCATTTCTTCACTATTAATATAAGGTGTTTTTTCTTTAGGACTATTTCGCCTAAAACTAAATTATTAATTTAATTCTTTCTATTATTTTGTCACATGTTGTTTCATTATAAAAAATATTTTTTATTTGTTTTCTAAACATTCCCATTATTCCAATCGCACGTTTTATTGTATATCTAAGTTCGTGAGTTTTATACTCATCATTTAAAAACTCATTTAAAAAATCAAACAATACAACATATTTTAAACGTTTAATATTAAAAGACATATTGTATAATTGTTTTACAATACTATAATACTTAAAAATAAAATCATTATTATATCCTTCGTCGTTACATTCTAATAAATTATCAAATCCTTCTATAGTTAAGAAATTATTCATTTCAATAAATACAAATATTTCTAAATCATCATCAATAGTTTCATTATTTATAATATCAATATCCTTGTTATTCATATCATCATTTTTTTTATAATTCTATTGCAATTATTGCATATTATATATTGACAAATATTATTACAAACGCCATTTGCAAAACCGCGTTCAATTGGTAATTTCAGCATTTCACAGTCTTTACATTTATAACTCATAAACTTGTTTTTCAATATATTTTTAGCATTGATACCGACTGTATCACTCATTCCGCTATAATATATTAAGTTATTATTTCTTCAAGTCATTTTGAAATCATAAATCTTACAATGTTTTTTATTGTAAGGTTTATGGATTAAAATAATGGTCAGGCAATATGTCTTCAAATATGTAATCTACATATTTATCTATATCACCAATGTATATATATTTGATATTGTCTTTTCCTATTATTGAATAAATATATTCCCAAAAGAATAAATACAACAATAGACATACTTTATATTTAGTGTTGTAGTAATACCATATACTATTTTTAGTTGCTCTAAATTCGTTCAATACTTCGTTGATTTTATCTTTGTCTAATAAATGCCAGTCAATCCATTCAAACAAATAACGGTATTTTTTGACAAATGCTTTGTATGGTTTAATTGCGTTTATTCCTCCAAACCTCCTAATCAAATCTATATTACTAAAGAATTCATCAATTTCATTTTCATATGACTTTCTGGAAATCTTCTGGTAAAAGTGTATAGGAAATCTTGCTTGGTGTCGCATAAAGAATTTTAATTGTAATTGAAACTTTGTATATCCCTTATCCTTATGTTCTTCAACAAAAAACTTTTCAAGGTCTCTTGTTATACAGCATTGATTGCAGTATACATTATATTCACTTATTTTATTACATACATTTGCTGGTAGTATATGATGCAAGGTTAAACTCAAATCATTCATTTTGCATTTACAGCATTCGCACTTGTTATAGTTAAACAACATTTCACTAATATTATAAGGCGTTTTTTCTTTAACTGTATTTCGTTTAATATTAAACTTTTAATAATTCGTGTCTCAAATAAGGATTAGTTTTTCCTTCCAAATGAAAGTAAGATTGCCCTAATTTACTATCAATTGATTTTACTTTAAATACTTCTTTTAACCAATGACTGGTATGTGCCTTTTCGCTTATGCCTTTCTTCCTCATTATTTTTACATTACTACCCACTGACAACTCAGGGTATTTTCTAGTATTTCTTGCTTGCATTGTAATATTCATTTTTACCTCAAATTCATTCTCTTTTAATCTTGCCTGTGCTGGAACAAAGCGGGTGGCAGAATGCACCATCTTATTATTGTAAGTTAATAATATTTCAAAAATATAATCCGTCCATTGGATATTCTGCTTTCCATTTTTCTTGTCCGCTTCAACTCGTTTAAACAGTTGATCTTTAAAAGTGTGAATTCCACGCTCCGCAAATGCTGGATGACCTCTAGTTCTATGTAATTCAATTTTCTCCTCCTTCAAATAATCTAATACTGATTGATTAAAAAAACTGCCTTCCTCGTCGGTATAAATTAATTTCGGTTTGCCACCCATCTTATTGATATGCTCCATCATTCCTGCTAAAATGTCTGGCGGTGTCTTGGATTTAATTGGCACGATATGCATATATTTGCTAAATATATCAATGCATATCATACCAATTTTAAATGTTTGATTTTCCAAATCATTTTTAGAAATGAAAAACATATCAACTTGAAATTCCCAGAAACTATGCGGAGCAATAAAACTATTTTCACCTCTCATCTTTCTTTTTTCTTCTACATTCTTACTAAAGAATTCATTAATATCGTTTATTGTAATACTACTATCTTTTTGCTTAGCATCCTTGAGGGTTGTTTGTTTTGAACCATAACCGCTTCTATCATAATATACACGCTTAATAATTTCTTGTGTTGAACTCATTAATTAAGTTAATAAAATAATTTTGAAAAACTCATTTTCAAAATTATTCATGACGCGCTGCAATTGCAATAGACACAAAAGGCGGTGCAGTTTTCAACTGTGTGGCATAACTCATTATCACAACGTTGAGCAGTGAAGTTAGAACTTATTTTTCCTCCTCTTGTATCTAGATTAAATTTAATTCCGCAGTTTTGGCAACAGGATTTGAAGTATTTTAAGCACCAGTTTTCGTCAATGTATTGCTCTTCGTCTATTTCTCTTTTTGCTACTCTATCTTGCTGTTTATATCCTTCAACTTTGTTTTTAAAATAGTTGATTACCAAACTCTTAAACATATCTTCATCTCCCTCTTTGTTCTTGTAAAAATAGACATTGTTAAAATCCCTCGCTCGTGTGATACTCGTCCACAACCATTCCCTACAAACTAAATAATCTTTGTTCCATTCGTGAATGGTCATATTATCACTGATTGATGTCCCCTGTCTGCTATGAGTGGTAGCACAGTAGGCATATCTAAAATGCTTATCTACAATATCAATGTCAAGTGTTCTAATGTTCTCTGCATCCTTAATATCTTGTATTGTTATCTTGTATCCTTCGTTATTAACAACCTTCCACCTAATATTAACATTCAGTTTTCCTTCCTTGTCCTTTTTGTAAAGTCTGCATATTAAGATTTCTCCAATTTCATATTTGCATGTTTTACCTAATCTTTTTCTAATCTCATTGGATACTGCCTCACATCTAATATTTGTATATGCTATGTTGTTTTCACTATTCATAACATCTTTAGTAAATTTGAAATGCTTAACTATCCATTCTTCAACTGCCATCTTTTTAATCCAAAAGTCATCATAGATTTCATTCAGTTTCTTTCTGTTTCTTTCTCCTTCTTCTGTATCCTTACCACCTACTCGCTTACATATCTTTAAAAATATATTATATTCAAAAATAATGTCAGTACATTTGTCAATGTATTCGCCTGCATTTTGAGTATTAGTGAAAGGTTCAATCGGTGGGAGTTGCTTGACATCACCGGCACCTATAATTACGATGTCAGGATTGTTATTTGCAAACACCCTTATTTTGTTCAATATGTAAGGACTGGACATATAAATCTCATCAAACACTATACAATCAAAATCTGAATAATCAAACTTTGGTAGGTCATCCCCTTTATCAACTGGAATGCTAAAGAATGTATTTACTGTCACCGCTTCGCATTCAATCTCTTGTTTTAACATATTTTGAGGCACTACAAAAAGTGTATTGTATCCTAAATTTTCCATATACTTGCCTATAAAACTTTTACCGCTCCCAGCAAATGTTGCTCTAATCATAACTCTTCTTTTTTCAATAATCTTATTACAGATGCTTTCAACATCCCACTCATCTTCAATCGGTATTGTTTCATTCTGAAAAGTTGGTATTTTTACTAACTCATTAAATTTCCAATTGTAATCAGTTTCCAGTTCATAGACTTTATTATTTTCTACTCTCCAGCCTCCAATATCATTATGAAAATCTAACAACTTCTTTGCCTTCCTTACATCTTTCTTTGCAATATGAAAGGCATCGGTTTTCACCGCATAAACTTTAATACTATTTGCTTTAAGTTTTTCGTATGCTTCATACATTGCAAAATTATGACCCTGAAGTAGGAGTTCTTTAATCGGTCTAAATCCGTTCATTAGTTTTCTTTGGTCGGTAAGACAAACAACATAATATTTGGCAGTCTTACTTATCTTTTCAGTTTCCCTATATTTCTCACCCCGTTCGCTGTAATAAGTCTTGCCGTCTTCAACTTTGCA